GAACTTCTGTCAGACAGTACAGGCGGATCTTGGACCTTTTTGCATTCTACGCTGCAGTTAAGCAATGCAATCTAGACTACGACCTAATTAAGGCTGTTATTAGACACTGAAGAAGCATCAGATTGATGATATCATGTTCATTTTATGAAGAAAGAGCTCTGATTGCCTGGAAAGTCCTGACCCTTTTATTCACAGGGGGTAACCACTTTGTGTGGTTTATTCTACTAGATATTACAGGACTAGACATAACTGGGTTAAAATGCTGTTTTTATATCTTCCCAGAGTCCAGATCTAAAAAGTTTGAAAATCAGAACTGCTACACAAAACATTTTCTAATGTGATTTTATTCCGATTGCCTTCCCATTGTACTCTGCAGACAGCTACCGGTTCCAAAAACAGGCAGAAAGTTAAAAAAAACTGCTTTATTGCCTTATTAGCAACAGTATTTTGTGTACAAGGTATCCCTGAACTCTCCTTGCTCATGTAGCTGGTTGACTGCTTTTCTCAGAAGTCTGCAAAGACCTTCAGGCAAAATATCAGCTTTACAGAAATACTTGCTAAGGGTTTTTCATGTCTGGAGGGATGCTGGGAGGATTACAGGGTTCCTTATTCCTTCATTGGGGTATGTGATTTTACCAGGCAGACATTAACATCCACTTAACACTAATTTCCAGGAAGTTCACTGCAAGCTTACTGTATCTAGACAACAGAAGCATGCAAGTGTCTGCAATAGAGTGTGGTAAAACCCTGTGCAATGTATATAACTGACCTAAAAAACTGAAGTTCCAACAGCACATGAAATATTTAATGAAATTACCTTTTGATCTATCTTATTAAAGAGCACCTACCCTTATTAGTACTACTAGTGTAACACTATTGTTACCGAATATTGACTTCCAGCGCTGAATACTGAAAAATGGCCTGGATGGGAAGGGGGTTTAACACCTGGTCTTGAAGTGGTTAAGCTGCCCATACACCTTGCGATCATCGGACTAAACTTTTCGTCCGATGATCGAACCGTCGTACGATCATGCCCATCCTGCCCCGATTATCGCAAGTTTGGATCAGCGGTAATTAAAAAAAAGCATCTGGACGAATTTCGGTAATCGACCGCGCGTATTTTGGTCTGCGCATGTGCAGTGTACATCGTACGAATTTTGACGTATGGAAACACCACCATCCTTGTGAAAATCGTACAATCGACCAAAGTTTTCTAACCTGCTTAGTCAAAAGTACAGTATTTGCGGTTGTACACTGCCCATCAACCTTACGAATATCGGACAAAAACGCGATCGCATACGAAAATCGCCCGATATTCGTAAGGTGTATGGGCAGCTTTAGAGTGTAAAAAGGATGATAGTCACTTTAATGCGCTCAAAGTAGCAACAGGTTTATTGCAGATTGGAATATGGGAACATAGATGATCCTACACACCAGATTAGGTTCTAATCCTTTCTCTCATTTCTGACAAGGTCTCTCTGCACCTTCTGAATCCAGACATTGCTGGCTGGATACCCACAGAGTTTTGGCTCCTTGAATATTAAGGTTCTAGTGGTAAGTTAATCCTGGTATTTCTCAAGACAGCGGACAAGTTTCTTTTGCATACTTCTCAGTCAACCAGTCACTAACCAAATGTCTTGTACAGGGCAGTAGTAGATGCTTCTTCTAGGCAACACACTTTTAGACCCCAGCAGCCTGTATCTTTAGGAATACCTACCAGGAGGAGAGATCCCTGCAATGTTTCAACCCTGGACCACATCACCAGGCTCACCAAGCCTACTAACTGGCTAGGTCAGTAAACATTCATAACACAGGATGACGCCTCTCTAGCACACCCTGCTGGAGCAAGCTCAAACAGCTGTGAACAGAGAAAATGCACTCTATGCTTAGAAGTCACTCCTGTTCATGTACAGATAGGCTGATTGCAGTCCACTGCTTCCTACAGAATCACAAAAATAAATTTCGCAAAAATACTAAATTTCTACACTAGCAAAGTCTCTAGTGGTACTTAAAAGGAGATAAGGAGATATGCAGTTTACACATAGGACGGGACCAGTCAAACTTCAGGCCAGGTTGTCTCTGATGAAACATTTCATAATGCAGATTGTTCCATTACCACTAATAACTTTCTCTAGGGAGAAAAGGGAATATTTGTATACACAGTTAAACAAATCAAAAGCGCCAAACTATGACTACCAATTGAAAATTATATAAGCGAGGATTGCTAGGGGTGCTGCCCCACTTCAGCCAGGGGAGCTGCAACACTATAGGAAAAAGAACAAAAGAGAAGGGCGCCCACCCTAGTGTAAATTGTTTTTAATAAGAAAAGCTGCAAGACAGGATAAAAACATACTCACAATAGTGAATCGGAATAAAAGCTTTCAACCAAAGCATGGACGACATCAGTAAGAGGCTGCACAGTCACCTGTGTGCCAGCACAGGACTCCTTCGTTTACGCGTTTCCGGGGCCACGCCCCCTTCGTCAGAACGTGACCTCAACCTCACTCGTGCAACAATATATAGTAACGTATATTAATACGGAGCCAATGAGCGCCGCTCAGTGATATGGGGAGCAGCCTCTCAGGACGGCGTCTTGGTTGCCGGTGATGTGTCGAAAGTGCGAACTTATCGAGTTGTGGGACCGCATGACTTCCGGTTTCCTCAGAACTACGATGTTTGATCACAAAACATGTTGTGCACGAGCGCCATCCACGACATTGCCCTATAGACATAGACCGCAGCAATAAAGTAATAAAATGATGTAGGATGACAGTAAGCCAGCACGTTCTTTATCTCCGGTGCCCCACTCAATATGGCCGCCGCTTGAGTGGGGCACCTGAGATAAAGAACGCGCTGGCTTAGTGTCATCCTACATCATTTTATTACTTTATTGCTGTGGTCTATGTCTATAGGGCAATGCCGTGGATGGCGCTCGTGCACAACATGTTTTGTCTAAAAACCTCGTAGTTGTGAGGAAACCGGAAGTAATGCGGTCCCACAACTCGATAAGTTCGTAGTTTTGATCGATCACCGGCCGGTCTAGTGGGAGTTTGTAGAGAGACTAGGGGCTTGGCGTTTCTGTGAGCCCGCTGATTGGCCTGATGGCACGGCATCTCCTTTAGAGGCAGATGCCGGAAGAAGCGCTGTATTACTGTTAACCAAGATGCCGTCCCAAGAGGTGGCTCCCCATATCACTGAGCGCCGCTATTTGTATTTGCCCATATTTGTATACACAGCAGCAGTGAATATCAAATGCACCCAAAACAGCATGCATGTTTTTAGGTGAAGGGAACAAAGCTTGATGCCCCATGAGTTATCTATGGCTGTCCAAGATTACAGTTTTGAGATCTCCCAAACTAATGGACTGACCCTAACAGGTCCTACCAACACAGTAAATCTGCAAATGTCACCACTCTGAGTGACATTTATTCCTATGGAGAATCCACCTAAAGCAGAGGATATAATATCTCTATGCAGTGTGCTCAATATATAGACACCAGCTATGACACAAGCTATTTGAGAGCTTGAAAGATTGGTTGAGAGCACCATAATTGTCATGCACACTGTTTTTTTTGTGCTAGGCCGCTTTTAGCCTCTACTGCTATAGCCAACGTCATCTACATTGTGTTCAGGCATTTCCTTCCTTCGCTGCTACTTCCGCTCTCACAGCACATCAACATCAAACCTTGTAGTTGGGACGATTGCTCACCTGCACTCTAAATGCAAAGTATTGTGTATTGCAAAAATGTTACATGGGTCAAAATTGCCAACATTTGGGGCCATGACTGTGTCACCTTGAGGAAGGGACTCTGTGTGTTCTAACCCTAAACGTTGATAATTTTGGCCTATGTAACGTTTTTGCAATAAACTTTACTTTCTTCAAATTAGGAGTGCTGGTGATCTGTCTTCACATCTCTGAGGTTGTGCATGGCACCATCCATGGTGGTCACTTCCTGTCCTGTTCAAATTGGTCTCAACGCTGTATGGAGTGCTGCAGAAATCTTCAGTATTATAATGAAATCTTGCACATGTGCGGTTTTGTTGCTAGTCCCATTGAGGTTTTCAGGAAGGAAATAGGGGAATCATGAGATCGAATGCCTTGCCAGGGACAGATTATGTAAGTGAGACAAGGCATTCTGCGGAGCTCAACACGGCCTGGAAGCCGGGAATGAAATACGCATGCACCGATGATATCACTGAAAATTCTAACAGCAAGGGAAGGATGTGGATGTTCATGATGCTGTCAACCAGAACTATGTGATATTATCATGATAATGGTGTACAGTTGAAAATGTGAGTTGACTTCCGCTTTAAGGATTTAATAACGTAGGTTATCTTCATCCCCAAAGGAAAAAAAATAACTGTTTCTGTAACTCCAGTGTTAGCTGAAGTTAGAATTAAATGTGTTAGTCATGTATGTAAAGTCCATCTAACACTACCCTCTCCACAGGCTACTGTCCAGGGGTGGCTATGCTACTTCTCCTTAGATACAGGGAGGAGTGAGCATAGCCACTCTAAGACAGGAGACATGTTACTGGTCGGATCACCAGGTGAAAATAAAGGAAAGGAAGCCTGAAAAGAAAACACTAATGCAGCGAGCACATCTGAGGACTAGTACGCTTCAATAGATCACATTTTTGTTCTTAGGTTAGACACACTTTACCTAGACTTGTGACAATAGTAGCCTGGCCTGTTAAAGCAGAGCAAGGTTTGA